TATATATATATATATATATATATATATATATATATATATATATATGTATATATAGAATAGAGGCAGCATCAACACATCAAGGGAAAACGCGCTGCTAGACAGCAGCAACAGCAGCAGTAGCAGCAGCAGCAGCAGCAGCAGCAGCAACAACAGAATCAATAACACCGCCAGTAGTAGGAGCAGCAGCAGCAAAGGCAGCAAAAGCAATAAAGAAAGCGCAGCAGCAACAAAAGCAGCAACAGCAGCAACAATAGCAGCAGCAACAGCAGCAGATCTAAGAGGGGCAGCAACACCCACAAACTCGGGCAGCTGCTGCAACAGCAGCAGCAGCAGCAGCTGCTGCTGCTGCTGCCACTGCTGCTGCTGCTGCTGCAGCCCTTGCATGCGAAACTGGGCGGGTACACAGCCCCCCTGATAGGAGAAACCCTAAACCCTAAACCCTAAACCCTAAACCCTAAACCCTAAGCTCTAAACAAAATTAATTCTGAAGAGAAAACCGAAGTTGATATGCTGCAGCAAGTTTGCTGCTGCAGCTGCTGGTGCTGCTCCAGCTGCTACCGCTGCAGCTGCTGCTTTTGGTGTAGCTGCTGCTGTGCTGCTGCTGCTGCTGCTGTGCTGCTGCTGCTGCTGTTGCAGCAACTTTTGCTGCAGCAGCTGCTACTGCAGTTGCTGCCGTTCCAGCTTCTGCTGCAGCTGCTTATACTGCAGCTTCTGCTGCAGCTGCTGCCGTCGTGCCTGCTGTCTGCTGCTGCTGCTGCTGCTGCTGCAGCTTCTGGGGCTGCAGCTGCAGAAGCTGCTCGCAAGCTTTTTGATTATGAAGTGTTGAAGGTAGAGTTCAGCAAAAGGGCTGCTGCTGCTGCTGTTGTTGCTGTTGCTGCTGCTGCAGCTGCTGCTGCAGCTGCTGCTGCAGCTCGTGCTGCTGCTGCTCCTCCTAGAGAACGTACAAGTTAGGGATCACGAGCGGCTCCTCCACCTTCTGCTGCTTCTGCATGCGGATGTGGTGGTGATGCTGCTGCTTCTGTTTTTGCTGCTGCTTTTGTTGCAGTTGTTGCTGCCGCTGCTGCTGCTGCTGCTGCTGCTGTGTGTCGGCCGTCGCTCTGTTGCAGTAGTTGTGTGTGTGTGTGTTGAAAAAAGTAAAAATAAGAATGTGAAATTCTTTTTATTTTGATTTTCATTTGATTTGTTTCGTGCTGCTGCTGCTGCTGCTGCTGGTTGCTGTTGTTTTTCAGGTGTACATGCAGCTGTTGCGCGCGCACCGCACCGGTGGGCACCCGGCGGCCTATGTATATTTTGTGTGTTTTCTTCGATAATTTATGAATAAATATGTAAAATATTATATTTTTTTATTTATATAAATGATAAAAAACAATTTATACAAAAATTTTTTGAGGATTCTTCGCTGGTTAGCTGCGCGGTCGTTGTTGCATCGACACTGAAACCTGAACAGGAAACCTGAAACCCTAAACCCTAAACCCTAAACCCTAAACCCTAAACCCTTGTTTTTGGTTTTTTTTTTATTTCTCTGAGTTTTTTCTTTTCCTAAACCTTTATAACTCCTAGATTCTTTCTTTTTTCTNTTTTTTTTTTATTTCTCTGAGTTTTTTCTTTTCCTAAACCTTTATAACTCCTAGATTCTTTCTTTTTTCTTGTTTTTCGTCGATTGCCGCTGCTCGCTTTCCACTCTGTTGTTTCCTTCGCTTGCGGTGTGTCTACGTCATACAATTTGCGTATTCTTTCTCTCCTTCTCAGTTGCATTCATTTGTTATCTTTTCTCTTCATCTTACACAGAGATCAAGATCTCTTTGCTGCAGCAGCAGCAGCATCTCCCGTCGCAGCAGCAGCAGCAGCAACAGCAGCAACAGCAGCAGCAGCAGCAGCAGCAGCAGTTGTAGTAGTAATATATCATAAACAAGAACAAGCTAAAGATCTATATAATCCTCTTGATTACAAATCCCACCATAATAAATTTTGCTATATATATAAATAAAAATAAAAAAATAACTATATAAATATATATATTAATATTCATATTTTTTCTCGTCAGCTGATGAAGAAATGGATCGACAACCAGGGGGGGGGCCCCCCCCCACCCAGGGGCCCCCATTGCGATATAGAGAAAGATATACTGCATGCAGGGGCCTCAAGCCAGAAGATAATTTAATTACAAATATATTAACGGGAACAAAAAGCTACTGGGGGGCCCTCGATGATATGCGTCGGCTTGTGGGTGAGCTGACGAGAGAAAATAATATATTAAGAGACAAAGCAGCAGCACAACAAACCCTATTGCAGCAGCGTACAAGTGCATATAGACAAGAACGTAAACAGCAGCAGCAGCAGCAGCAGCAGCAGCAGCAAAAATATACGCATGCATTAAAAGACCTTAAAGATGAAAATGCTATATTAAAAAAACAAGCAGCAGCAGCAGCAGCAGCAAAAGAAGAAATGCAACAACTATCACAACAATTAGATAAATATAGATACGAAAGCGAACATAAAAGTAATTTATTAAATATAAAACAAAAAGAAATAAATACAGCTCACGAAGATATACACCGCAGCAACACAGCAGCAAAAGGTCTAGCAGAGAAGGTTGATCTGCTGCAGCGGCAGCTAGCAGCAGCAGCAACAAAAAAAAACATGCTGCTGACGCGGGTGAAGCAAGAGATAAAGGATTTGAGGGATTCTGCTGCTGCAGCACGAGCAGCATATAAAGAAGAAATAGAGAAAGCAGAAGAGAGAGCAGCAGCAGCAGAAAGAGCAGCAGCAGCACAACTAGCAGCAAAAGATAAACAATTAAAATCACTGCAGCAAGCAGCAGCAGCAGACGAAACACAAGTTTCTTACAGCTTAAAAAGACAAGAAGAGCTAGAGAAACAAACAGCAAAACTACGAGCTCAGCTGCAGCAGCAGCAGGAGAGAGCAGCAGCAGATGCTAGCAGCAGCAGCAGCAGAATAGAAGAACTAGAGATACAAATACAAAATATACAAAAACAAAAAGAAAAAAAAGAAAATGAAAATATACATCTACGCTCAGCAGCAAATATCATAAAAAAACAAATCCTACAAACAGAAGAAAAAATTAAAACTATGCAGCTAGAACAACACAAAATACAAGTCAGCTGCTGCTCCTGCTGCTGCTGCTGCTGCTGCTGCTGCTGCTGCTGTTGCTGTTGCTGCTGCTGCTGCTGATGATGATGATGATGCTGCTGTTGCTGCTGCTGCTGTTGCTGCTGCTGTTGCTGCTGCTGCTGTTGCTGCTGCTGTTGCTGCTGTTGCTGCTGCTGTTGCTGCTGTTGCTGCTGCTGCTGATGATGATGATGATGACTTGCTGCTGCTGCTGATATTCGCGTTGCTGCTGTTGGGGTGTTTGCTGCTGCTGCTGTTGATTCTGCTGCTGCTGCTGCTGCTGCTGCTTATGCGGAATCACTATACCCGCTGCTGCTGCTTAGGCTGGTGGTGTTGCTGCTGTTGCTGCTGCTATGCTGCTGCTGCTGCTGCTGCTGTCTCCCTCTCCGTGTCTGTGTATTTTTGTTTGTCTCCGTATTTGTTTGTTTGTTTCTCTGTTTATATCTTTTTTTATTTGTTTTTCTTTGTCTCTTTTTGTTTGTTTTTGTTTATTTTTTATTACTTTTGCTGTCTCCTTTTTGCTGCTGTTTGTTTTAGGCTCAATTAAAGGAGACAGAGAGAGAAGCAGCAGCAGCAGCAGCAAGAGCAGCAGATGCAGCAGCAGAACGGGATCAGCTGCAGCAGGAGCTGACAGCAGTTCGTGATGCAGCAGCAGCAGCAGCAGCAGCAGAGCAGCAGCAAAAGGAAGAATTAAAGAAAGCCCTAGAAGCAGATGCAGCAGCAGCAGAAAGACAGCTAGCAAAGACAGCAGCAGATTTACGTATAGAAAAAACTAAAACAGCTCAGCAGCAGCTGCAACTGCAGCAGCAGCAGCAGCAGCTGCAGCAGCTCAAAGACACAGAAACTAAACTGCAGCAAATATCTCTACCCTTCACCCGCATACGTTCTGCTTTTGCTGCTTTCTCGGGGCAGCTAGCTGTTGATGGAGCTGAGCTAGCTGCTGCAGTGGGCCAGGCACTGAGGGAGTTCTCGCAAGCCAAACAAGAGCTACAGGTACCACTCTCAGCTAGCTAGCTAGCTAGCTAGCCAGCTGGTTAGCTAGATAGCTAGCTAGCTAGCCAGCTGGTTAGCTAGATAGCTAGCTAGCTAGCTAGTTAGGTAGTTAGCTGGCTAGCTAGCTAGCTACCTAGATATATAGATAGATAGATAGATAGATAGATAGATATGTAGGTAGATAGATGAATAGGTAGATAGATAGATAGCTAGCTAGATAGCTAGCTAGCTAACTAGCTAGATAGCTAGCTAGCTAGCTAG